TTCTCCCTCTGACCCTCCTCCCTCTCATGCTCTCTGTCTCTCATTCTCTCTGTCTCAAAAAAATAAATAAAATCTTTAAAAAAAAAAAAAAGGAAATACTTGAGCTTTAAAAAAAATAAATGAAATAAAATGTACTTCCAGAAAAGAGCCTGTCATAAATGCACAGCTGGATGCATTTCAACAATCGGCACATTCGGGAAACCCACATCAGACTAAGAAACAGAACCTCACCCGCACCGCAGAGGCCCTCTCGCGCCTCCCCCAGTCACCACCTGCCCTGCGATCTCTGGGCCCTAGCAGCAGACAGAATGCGTCGTCCCACCTGGCCCCGGCCCGTGTCACTGCTGGGGAGACACACCTGCATTTCCGCGCTCACCTGAGGAGCCTCTGCCCGCGTCCTGCAGCGTGACGTGGGGCTGGCCGCGTACCCGTACTTAGGAGGGTATCTGTGCCCTTGCCCTCCGGACGTCGTAGACAAGGAACCAGCATGGAAATCATGAAGCTGCAGGACAGAAGGGGTCAGTGAGGCCATGGGGTCCTGGGCCAGCCAGAGGCAGGAGCCGGGAGGGGCTGGGGCCAGAACCAGAGGCCGAGAATGGCTTTCCCCTTGCAGTGGGGAGGAGAGAACCCAGTGGGAGTGGCCTTGATGGGGCTGCATGACATGGGAGGTGGGGTCATCCGCCGGGGCGCATCGGAGAGTCAGGATTCGAGGCCGGGGAGCTGGAGGTGTGAGTGGGCATGGGGGAGACGGGTCGGCACGGGGGATGAGCGCGCCGAGGCTGGGGTCCACGGCGTGTCCCACAGCAGCCTTCTGGGCAGTGAGACCTCGCCACCGAGCAGGTGCCGGGGACTCAGGGTCGGGGCCGTGGGCCCAGGAGGTCTGCAGTGCCACCCTCTGGCAAGAGCCGCAGGACATGCCCCGGAGTCACCTTCCCCACCCTCCCGGTTGCTCCCCAGACAGAGAAGGCCAGGCTTGCCCACGCGGGCAAGTCACATGCCGAGCCCTGACCCAAGCCACACTGAGTCCCGAACAGGCCGGGGATCCAACGGCTGCCTCCCCGGAGGGTGGGGGACCAGCGGGAGTCCTGGCTGGGTCTCAGGCTCGCGGCTGCGGTCCCCGGGGCTGGGCTCCTCCTTCCTCACGGAGCTGCACCCCCGTCCCAGGCTCCCCAGCCCTGAGAGTCCCCAGGCCTGTGCCCTGATGGGGCAGCCTCGCACGCAGACTCCCTGGCCTCGCGCCCTGCCCAGACCTGTTCTAGATTCCACACCACCCTTCCCCAAGGCTGCCTCCACACCCCCCAGCCAAGCGCAGGTGAGGCTGGGACTCCACAGGGAGGCTGGCAGGCTGCAGAGCTGTGCACCGTGGGGCCATGGAACCGCCCGCAGGGCCGGTGCTCTACCAAAAGCTGCTTCTCTGGGACCCCAGCTTGGGGTCTGAGGACGACGAGGAGGAGGAGACATCAGAGCTGGTCGCTCCTGACACCCGGAGGCCCCACGACTCCTTGGGGTGAGTCAAGGAGGGGCCTGGGCACCCGGCACCTCAGGCCTGAGGCTGGCAGGTCCCTCCCTCCGGAGCCCCCAAGGTGGGGACGGAGGGCGGACACCCCCACGCTTGGTTCGGCTCCAGGAACTTTCTGGGTGAATGAGAGAAGCGGCACTGCGGCCCCAGACCTGGTCTCCGCCAGTCAGTCCAAGGTCTGTGTGTCTGAAGGGACGTTCGTCCCAAGCCAGGTGCGCCGGCTACTCTGTCAAAGGTCCCCAGCCCCCACCCCTGGCGCAGGAGGCACCTGCTGGGCAGGTTGGAGCCTGGCTACACCCGGCTGGGCTCTGCTCCTCAAGCCAGCCAAGTCCACCTCAGGCCTCCCTCCTCCTGGCTCAGCCCTGCCTCCCCCAGAGACCCACTCCCTGGCTGTCCTGCTTCCCCAAGCCCCTTCCAGTCCCCACGTCTCCTCTACGCTGTGCCAGGAGGCCCTTGGCGACCGTGCACCCCTCTCGCAAGGAAGGCCACACCTTTGGGGAAGTATTCTCTGGGTTCTCTCGGGACTCTTGGTTGTCCCCCAGCCCGGCCCTGGCTCAGGACACCCCTCTCGGCAGGAACAAGTTTGGCGGGCTGCCCGGGGTCTGGGCCCGCCTCGGTGCCGCCCTGCTGCTGCTGGCCGTTGCCTTCTCCCTGGCCGCGAGGCAGCTCTACACCGGGGGTGACCCTGCGGCAAGCCTGGGCTCAGCAGCCGCCCGGCCCGGCGGGCACCCCCACCACCCCGGCGTGTACCACCACGGGGCCATCGTCAGCCCTGCAGGTCAGAGCTGGGGAGCTGCTCCGGGGAGGGGAGGGCCCGGGGCCCTGGCCCCTGGCCACTCCCCAGACAGTGTCTTCCTGGCCACAGCCACGTGCTCCCACCTGGGCCGAGAGCTGCTTGCCGCCGGCGGCAACGTCGTGGACGCAGGAGTGGGAGGAGCTTTGTGTCTGGCTGTGGTGCACCCCCATGCCACAGGTCTAGGTCAGTGACCCACGACCCCAGGCGTGCTCCGTGACCTGGAACTCGGGCCCTGACCTCAAGGCCGCGCAGTGGCAGGACCTAGGCTGTGGCCCCTGCTCTGCGGCGCACGTGATCTTGACCCCGGGGCCTACTTACTGACCCCCATCTCCAGGCCCAGAGAGTAACTCCCGACCGCGGTCAGCGCCCTTCACCCAGGGCCACTGCGTGACCCTGAGTGACCCTGGCCCAGGGCCACTGAGTCCCGTGTGACCCCTGTGTCTCCTCCAGGTGCCATGTTCTGGGGTCTCCTCTACAACAGCACCTCGCGCAGTTCAACTGCCCTGACGTCCGGCCCGGCCCAGACCCTGGGCCCCGGCCTGGGGCTGCCGACCGCTCTGTCCACCCTGCGCTTGCTGCACATGCACTTTGGCCACCTGCCCTGGCCGCGACTGCTGGTGGGCCCCGCCACGCTGGCTCGAGAGGGCTTCCTGGTGGACACAGCCCTGGCCGCGGCTCTGGCAGCCCGGGGCACAAAGGGCCTCTGTCCACTACTGTGCCACGCCGATGGGACGCCCCTGGGCCCCGGGGCCCGAGCCACCAACCCCAAACTGGCAGCTGTCCTGCTCAGAGCAGCCCTTGCCCCCACCCCAGACCTTGCTGGGGACGCCCTGCTGAGCCTGCTGGTCAGAGACCTGGGGCTGCAGGGGCCCTCGTCTGGGCCCACGCCCGCCCTGGAGGCTGCACTGCAGCTAGCCGTGCCCCAGGGCATCCTGTCCACCACCCCCAGCCCCTCGGCTGGTCCAGAGCTGCTGACAGTGCTGGGGGCAGCCCTGCGCTCCGGAGGGCCCAGCCCCGACCCCTGCCCAGCGCCCCTGCAAGCTCCCGTGACCCCTGTGGGCAGTGTCCTGGCCACCATAGACAGCAGTGGCTCCGTGCTCCTCCTCGCCTCCTCACTCAACAGCTCCTTTGGCTCCGGACACCTGTCCCCGAGCACTGGGGTGCTACTTAGCAACCTGGTGGCCAAGCCAACGGCCAGTGCCTGGGCCTGCCCTCTCATCCTCCATGGCAGTGCGGATGACACAGAGGCTGATGTGTTGGGGCTGGTGGCTTCGGGAACCCCGGCAGTGGCCAGAGTCATGACTCATGCCTTGCTCAGTCACCTGGCTGTGCCCCAAACCCAGGCCCAGCCCCAGCATCAGCAGGGACCGACACCGAGCACTAGTGTTTGTGGCCAAGGGATCCTGCTCCAGGTGGCTGCTCAGGCAGAGCACGCCCACGTCTCCAGTGTCCCCAGTAGCTGCTGCACCTTCCAGGGGTTCTAAGTGGGGGGACGTGTCTAGCAGGGGGTGGGAGGGTGGGGGCCTCAAGCCCGGAGGCAGGAGCAGAGCAGACCCCGCAATGATGAAGTGCATAGACAGTGCACGTGAGTTATGCGGTCACTGCTAGCTCAGGCCCACGACCTCCGGCCTGGTCAGCATCCTGGACTCCAGATCTGGCTCTTTTCTCAGCTAAGGAAACTGAGGGTATTGGGGAAAGAGCCCCAGGACCCGGGGCCAGCCCCGAGTTCAGATCCAGCTCTGGGAAGGACAGGCAGAAGAGTGCCAAGCCCCTGCCTTGGCTCCAGGCCCCGTGGGCAGGGCAGGCAGAGCTTGGGGTACTGCTGGCCTCTCTGTCTTCGCCTTCAGGCCACTCTCTGCCGATCTCTCTCAGCTGAGCTGGAAACAAAATAAAGATCCAATCTCCTGTGCCATTCCTGCTTCCCAGTTTCCCACCAGCCTGTGAGGTGCTTGGTGTCGTGGCCTCCCCCTTGGGCAGCACAGCAGACCCATACCCGGAGAGGCAGAGCCTGGGCCACTGTCTTCCAGCTTCCCCTGCTCTGCTCACCCTCTGCTCCTGGGGCACCATATACATGAGGTACACATCTGCACCTCACTTCCTAAAGCAGCAGAACAAGGAAGGGGGTGACAGGAGGAGCAGTGGGGCCCAAAGGAGCTGGAGCTGGGGGCATGGGACTTAAGGGGGGGGTGTCGGTCCTGATATTGCCCACCGCCCGCGTCCCCCAGGGCTGAGGTCTCTCCGGATTGCAACCCTCCAGAGACAGCTTCTGCAGTCCAGATGCAGGGGTGACCCGCAGCACTGCTCCCTGCCATTGCAAAAGTCCTCTCTGATTTCGTAGAACTCACGTCCCCAGCTCAGTGAACGGCACCACCATCAACCCAGTCACGTTAGCCCTCTCTTTCCTTCTCCCCCACATCCATCACCCCCCCAGCCAGCTCCAAATTAGCTGGGCTCCGACCTGCTCATTTCACCTCGCTCCAGCCCACCACGGTCCCGAAGTATTCTTGGAGCTTCTCCCTCTGCGATCCCGCAATCCATGCCCCACACAGCGCCAAGTAATCTCTTAAAGAGGTAAATAGGATCAGGACTTGCCCATGCATAGAACCCTCCAACTTCCCAGCCGCGCTCATACTAAAATCCCAGAGTGAGGGGCTCCCGGGTGGCTCCGTGGGATAAGCCTCCAACTCTTGGTTTCCACTCAGGTCGTGATCTCAGGGCCGTGGGATGAACCCAGGTGCAGGCTCCGCTCATCGGGGAGTCTGCTTGAGACTCTCTCTCTCTCTCTCCCTCCCTTTGCCCCTCCCCTGTCTAAAAAAGATAAGTAAATCTTTAAAATAAATAAATAGAGGCACCTGGGTGGCTCCGACAGCTGGGCGTCTGCCTTCGGATGGGGTCTTGATCCCAGGTTCCTGGGATCGGGTCCCGCGCCGGCCTCCCTGCTCAGTGGGGAGCCTGCTTCTCCGTCTCCTCTCTGCTCATGCTCTCTTCTCGCTGTCTCTGTCGCTATCTCTGTTTTTCTCTCTCAAATAAATAAATAAATAAAAATTTTTTAAAAAGTAATAGCCCCCCCAGGGACTGCACCAGGGCGGGGCTGGCCCCGCCCCAGACCCCGCCCCAGGCGGCTATGCTCCGCCCCCTGCCCGGCAAGGCCCCGCCCCGTGGCCGACCCAGCGCGCACGCGCCGCGACCTGACCCGGAAGAGGCTGTCTTCAGAGCCCACGTGTTCGCGGAGCATGGCGGAGATGGAGAGACTGGGCCTGGCTGAGTCTGTGTCCCCCGGGGGGGCGGCCAAGAGCGGACCCCAGCCCGCCGACCGCGAGGGCCTGCTGAAGCAGAGCCGCGAGTTCTTGGACTTCTTCTGGGACATCGCGAAGCCGGAGCAGGAGACGCGGCTGGGGGCCACGGAGAAACTGCTGGAGTACCTGCGCGCGAGGCCACAGGTGCGGGGCGGGGCGGGG